AAATTGACGACCGACTGCAGGTCTGCCAATTTGTTTGCCATCTCTTTTACCTCTTCGTCCCTCCGTAGGCACCTATCCTTCCAAACCTGGAGGTCGTCCTCGTTGTAGTACCTGCTTTGATCAGGTTTCTTTGGTACGTCGCAGTCTAGCTGACATCTTTTACTCCATGAGCTTGCTCATGAGTTTCTGCGTTGGACATGTCTCTTTCGCCATCAAGGTCAATAGGTCTCCCACTCCCAGTAGGAGTGTCGTCCCCAATCTTTTCCTTCTGTCCGTTACTGGCCATCTATTCTACTTTCTTTCCCACAGACGGCGCCAAATTGTGTGAGTGATTTTTCGATCACACTGCCCAACTCAGTATTCAGCTGGAGAACACTGGCAAAATAGATGACACCTGGCTAACTTGTAACAGAAAGAGAAGATTCCGGCGTGGTTCGTCTACCCGGGGGCACTCCGACGATCAAGTCAGTATATCTCTCAAAGATAATCAATAGTGCTTAACTTACTAGACAGAATATAAATTGCGTACCTTAGACCTATGGGGGTGCCTCCTTTTTATAGACAACACAATCCTAGTCCCAAATAGAAGCCTAGCTCTAATGGACTTAGGATTTATTGCTAATCTTGGACTCCTAGTAGAATTAGGATATACTCTCTAAGAGTCTCATCTTTACCCAAACTAAAGTCTTCTTCCATTCTAGGACTCTTGTGCCTTATCCGCTTATCTCGGATTCCGATATCTTCGAAGATAACCTCGGTCTTGCCGAGATCACCTCGGCGTCATGACCAGGACACGTGGCACCTCGGCTGACACGTCAGCGTCACCGTGGCCACGTGTTGGTACTAAAAAATATATCCCCACAATAGTTTATTAGATTTTGTTTGAATATTAATTTTAAAATCGTTCTCTTTCTTTTCAAAAATAAGTTTACAAATACAAGGTTTATTTTCTTCCTTCTTTTTTTTCACAAATTACTCCCTAAACACAAATTCAATATTTCCTTCATTTTTTCTTTCTTTCTTTTTATTTTTTTATATTATTTTTGTTTCCTCCTCAAGTTGTTTATTTATTTATTTTAACTGACATGAGTTGTATAGGATTCAAATTCTGTTCATTTTATGGATATCTCCATTACGTTATCAATGGTGAAGAAAGATTCACATTAACAAATTATTTAAATTCAAAATCAAATAATGCTAGTTATAAACCATTGATTCAAATTCAAAATCAGCTGTTGAAGAAACCTTCGTAGCCAATGAGAAACTGGAGACATTCGAAGATTTTTGGTTGTCATAGACAAAGTTAGAAGTCGCTTTGTTATAGGTCCATCCGTATTTTCATTTTCTATTGGGATTGTAATAATGATGGAACCTTGTTTTGTAATAAAAGTTTGTAACTCTGTAATATTATTTGCTTATATAAACCAAACCAAACCAAACCTTAAGTCTCATCAAATGAAGTCGGCTGCATGAATCATTCTTCTCCACTCAACTCTATCTAAGGCCATGTCGTTAGTCAAATTAAAGAGATTCATATCTATATTTACTACACTACTCCACTTCAATCTAGGTCTACCCCTTCCTCTAACACTACCATTTACCGTTATTATATCACATCTTTTTACTACTACCTCTATTGATCTCCATTGTATATGACCAAACCATCTCAATCTATTCTCTCTTAACTTATCTTTTATCGGTACTACTCCCACCCATTCTCGAATATACTCATTCTTAACTTTGTCTTTTCTAGTCTTGCCACACATCCATATTAGCATTCTCATTTCAGCAACACTCATCTTATCTACATGTTATTTCTTAGTTGCCCAACATTCCGTCCCATACAATATCGCCGGTCTAATAGTCATTCTATAAAACTTCATTTTTATTCTAATGGGTACTTGTTTTATCGCACAATACTCCAGACGCACTCCTCCACTTAAGCCATCCCACCTTAATTCTATGGACCACATCCGCTCCAATCTCAATGACTAAAGTGAAAAGATAAGAACTTAAGGTTGATCCTTAGTGTAACCCTACAGTAATTAGAAATTCACTTGTCTCTCCAACAAGCGATCTAATAGTGGTCACCACATCTTTATATATATCCCTAATCACATCAATGTAACCTTTTGTCACCCATTTTTTCTCCAATATCCGTCAGATTATATCCCAAGGCACTCTATCATATGCTTTCGTAAGATTGATAAAAACTATATAAATGTCTCTTTTCTTTTCTCTATACTTTTCTATTGCTCTCCTCAAAAGATAGATCGCTTCTATTGTTGACCTACCAGGTATAAACTCAAATTGATTCTCTGACACCTTTGTTATATCTCGCAATCAACGTTCCATCACTCTCTCTCACACTTTTATTGTGTGACACATTAACTTGATTCCTCTATAGTTGTTGCAATTTTGATTCCCCTATAGTTGATTCCTCTATAGTTGTTCCATCACTTTATAGTTGTTGCAATTCTTATATATTGACACTAAAATACTTTTTCTCTACTCCTCTGGCATTTTCCTAGTCAACAAAATCTTACTAAATAACCTAGTCAACCAAATAATCTCCTTCTCACTCAAACATTTCCACGCTTCAATAGGGATATCATCGGGTCCTAAAGCCTTATTCGATTTCATGTTCTTAAGTGCAAACTCCACTTCAAAGTTCCTAATCCTACGATAGAACCTATAATCTTGGTTTTCCTTATTACTGCATATTTCCTCTCCTTTTGACCTACCTCCATGTTCATCATTTAATAGCTTCTCAAAATAGTTCTTTCACTTCTTCATAATCTCTTCGTCCTTCACCAACACCTTAGAGTCCTCACCCTTGATGCACTTAACCTGATTAAAATATCTTGTTTTCCTCTCTCTTATCTTAGCAAGTTTGTATATCCTCTTCTCTCCCTCCTTACTATCTAGTCTAGTGTATAAGTCATTATAGGCTTTCAATTTAGTCTCCCTCTTTATTTTTTTGACCTTTTTATTGGCCAATCTGTAGCGCTTAAGGTTTTCCTCCATTCTATCATTCTGTCACTTTTTAAAGCTTTTTTTTTTTTGTCTTTATTAGCTAGTTTAGCCAAACCCCAACTTCCCAAACAGCACCTAAATATTGGCAAAAATAATTTTTGGGACAACACACTAATTAAAGTTACCCTGTTTTAACTTTTTAGTGAAAAATGACCCGAAAAGGCGTCAGGTTGGGTCTCGGCCAACTCAATACCCCTTGAGCTAAAAAGCCTTAATAGTCCCCTAGAGTGCCAAAATCAAAATCTTGGGTGGAATCCACATTTTGAAGAAAAATCCCATTTCAAGTGTCAAAAGGTGGAGTTGCCTAGTTTACCAAAAATATTTACATTCACTTAAGTTTATTAAAACTCAATTTTTAATTAATGGTAAAGTCTTCCAATGAAATCGTTCCCCTATGCCATGGTAAGTAAATTCGTACACGTGTAAGGTTTAACTACACCACTACATGCCTTTACTCAAAATATTACAAGCATACATGTAAATTCAAGATGTTACAAGTCAAATTAAGAGACAAATCCTCCATCAAAATAAAAGGGGAAAGGTACAATGCCCAATGCTTGAAAATGTAAGGGGTGAGCACGATGGCTCTGTAAGGATAATGTCTAGCAAACTACATAAGCAAGTAACGTGTAGATATTTCCATGGTCACATAACCACATAACCAAATAACATGGTAACCATTCTATACTTAGCATACATGTTTTCCACTATTCAATTCCAAGTCGTTATTCCATGTTACTAAAATGAGTAAATTACATGATCAAGTGTAGAATATTTTGAATTCTATGATTGTTTTATATTCAACTTTAATCCATTACAAGGATTTCAATTACCCACCTTCTTTATTTTCTCAAGTCTTGTCACTACCCTAGGCTAATGTAAGCGAGTTGTTCATCCATAAATAACCACATAATATCATTATGCAATCCTTATTATTATTATTATTGTTGTTGTTGTTGTTGTTGTTGTTATTATTATTTATTTCCTTTGTTATTAATTATTATTATTTATTTAATATCTTTGGACCACACTTAACCTTAAAATTTAACTCACACCAACTTTTTAGGAAATTAGCCAAAATAAAGAAAGAGGTTTCAACCAACAGTTACATTTCACTATTTGAGTTTTAAGTCACCGCTCAAAATAAAGATTACATGTACACCAGAAACTGTGCCAAGCACTAGATTTTAAACACAAATAACACTGTTGTACGCCGGGTACTTTGCTATGCAAAAGTCCCAACACTAGTAAATTTTGTTGGGTTGCTAGCCTAATGGTTAAGTAGACCATCTACCATGCACGGGTATACGGGTATTCTTTGATGGGCGGTAGACCCACTCCATATTTCATGGCACTGACGTAAAATTGATAAAGAAAGTAGAAAAGAGAAATAAAAACTCAATCACATCAATAATAAGGCACTCAGAGCAATGAAATCCGACGTAGGTTCTTTTTACTTCTTCATCATTTGTTCTCCTTACATAACGATGCCAAAAAAAAAAAAGCCCTTCAACTATATACTTAAATGCAGCTCCTCACTTTTGTTTTGCCATTCTGTCGGTATTTGATTTGTATCTGAACATATAGGTACAAAACTTTGTATATTGATCCTTCGTTTCAATTCCTGATTTTCCCCCTTTCCTTTTCTGTTCTTTTCAGGACATACTATTCTCATGTTGTGTAGTATAATTCACTTTCGTGTTCTGTTGGTCTTTGTTTTGTCCCGAACACATAGTTACAAAACTTGTTAGATTGATCTTTCATTTCCTGTTCTTTCTCAAAAAGACATGATTACAAGTATGCTCTCTAATATATGTTCTTGTTTTCTTCATTTAAGATGACCTGTTTAATTGTATACAGTTATTATTAATAAATATAGTGATCATGGATTCTGCACCAGCTCAGGTAGTCACATGAGAGATGTGTAGGCTTCCTTTAGTCTTATTCATGATTCTGTAAGTGAAACAAGTTGGATTTAATTTGTTGCAGGTCCAAAATGCTGTTGATTTTTTGAAGATGATTGGAGCATTGGATGAGAATGAAAATCTCACACATCTTGGTGAGTATATGGTTTTTTGTATGAAAAATAGATGTATTAATGAATTTTTTTTTGCTAGTCTGATCGATAGTCTTCTATTTATTTCTTTTAACCAGGAGGGTTTCTGTCAATGCTGCCAGTAGATCCCAAGCTAGGGAAAATGTTAATAATGGGTGCTATCTTCAGTTGCTTTGATCCTATTCTGACAATTGTGGCTGGACTTAGTGTCAGGGATCCTTTTCTTTTGCCTCAAGATAAAAAAGATGTGAGTATAAAATTCAGCATCCTTTTCTTTTGCCTAAAGAAAAAGGACGCAAGTATAAAATTCAGTATTATTATTATTATTATATTTTAACGTGTTAACATGCATTGTTCCTTGCCTCTGCAATTTTTTGTTTTATGCAACTTCGGAATCATGAAGTAACTTGTTGAGCATCCTTTTTATACTTTGGTGAAATGCGAGATTCGTAAGAAAGTGCGTTATGAAAACAAAGATGTTACCAGTTATGTAACCAGGTTTTGTTAGTTGAAATGACTGTAAGAATTGAAATAAGGTAAAAAGAACTCTATTAAAGCCAATTTTGTTTTGATCTGAGTGGATTTGAGGTTGCTTTCTATTGTCTGATTGTGGTTGGAGTTAAATTTCTTTGACATTCACAATCTGAACTCAATTCGAGCTGTTTAATTTTGATTGATTGATTAATTTGCTCCTAAAGTTCAGTTCAATTCAGATTCTTTTCTTTGTTTGATTGTTGATCGGCTTCAGTTTCTTTATTCTTCCCAGTCATATTGGGAGTGTGATTTCACTGAGATTCTTGACCAGGGTTAGTTGGTTTTGCATATATGAGGAATATACAGTGCAATGTTTTTCTTTATATTCTAAGCTATTGTGAGTTGGCTCTTCTTGTGATCCAACACCATCTGGTCTGCAAATTGAAGATAGACTTTGCTCTTGGATTTGATTTCAAGATTTGCGTTTTGTTTTTGGGACTCAATCGATAATTTTGTGACTGCAGCAATCTCAGCAATGAGCTGATCTGTTGATCAAAACTGTGATTTGTCCATACTGAACCCTAGAAGATCCGATTTGGTTGCGAAGTTAGCTCTGCACTTGATCAAAGCTCGTCTCTTAGATCCTTGTTAGAAACTCCTAGATTTTTCCGTTGGCGAGAAGGGGCTAGGGTTCCTGGAGAGTGGGGGTGGCTATTGGTGATGGTGGTGGGTGGGTAGAGTTAGGGTTAGGGTTTGAAGGATAGTGGTGAGGATAAAATTGATGTTTCATAGTATGGTAAATTTGTAATAAAAAATAAATAGAGAAGGTAGGGGCTATTACCAGTAGAGGTGTTCAAAAACCCAAATTACCAACGACTCACTTGGCCCGCCACTGCTATGGGTGGTTTCGACCAACTGAATGGTCGACTGCGGTTTTATTTTGTATAATTTCATCTATTTTTGGTTAGCTGTCGGGAAAAAAAATTTCACTACCACCGATTGACCGAATTATATACGTGTATATATATATATATATATACTTTTATTATTATTATATTAGGTTTGCTTGGATTGGTAACTTAAACAATCATAGACTTTATTATCTCAAGTCACCCTACACTCTTCAAAATATACATATTTTTCCAATAAGAAAAAATCTTCCCGAGACAAACAACACGTCTCCCAAGTCAGTTAGAGACGTTTGACGTCTCGCCCACCCTCTTGTCTCCCTCTCTCCTTAATCCTCTGTCCCACTGTTTCAAACCTCTTATCTTTATCTCTCACCTTTCTCCATCTCCATCTCTCTCAACCCTCTCGTTTTCCTTCCACAACCACCCTATTTCATCCCGTCACATTTTCTTCTTCCTCTCTCCCCAAACACTGTTGATCTCTCTCTCTCTCTCTCCCCCCCTTTGAGAGAGATTCATCTATTACTTTCTCCCTCATCTGTATTTCTCTTTGTTTTCTCTTGCATCTGTCTTTCGATGGTGATGGTGGTGGTTGTAGTTTGCGACAGCGGTGATAATGGTGAGACTCTCCCCTCTTGCTTTTCCTTTTTCTCATTCTTTCTATTCCCACTTATAGATCTGTATTAACTTTATTATTTTGAACTTTTATTCCATCTTCCCCAATGTTTTCACCTTTGTGCCAAATGTTCGAAATTGACTGAACCAACTGTCAATCTGAGTTCTTTCATTTGGCTGATTTTGAACAGTAGCTCGGTCGATTATGGGTGATTGGGAACACCCCTAATTAGCAGCTCACATGGCCCACAAAGCTTAAATTGCCGCTGTGCCCCTCACCAATTAATTTCATTATCTTGTTATGCCACCGTAAGCTAAAATCAACGCAGGATATAATTGTAACGTATCTACATCCACTACGCACTTGTGTTGGTCCCACAACACGAAACCCAAAACTTGGAACCCGAAAAAACTTGAAACTTGAGTGATTGGTCCCACAAAACTAAAGTTCACCAACATATGTTGCCAGCATATTAGTTGGTTGTCATTTTGGGGACACCGTGCTCACCCCCGACATTGTAGGTACTCTCACCAATTTGAGGCCATCACATGCAAATGTTTTGTTTGGCCTGGCCTTGTGGTTCTCTTGGTAGGTATATGTAACTACTATATTTAGAGTCTGTAATAACTTAGCTTGAATTTGGTTATGTAAGGATGCCTATGATGTTAGGATGCATGCTAGAGTTTCTTTTGATGTATGATGGTTGCCATAGCATTGTGGTGTGTTGGGAATAAGAGAATACTTATGGTTTTCTCTAACTGAAATAAGAGGAAAAAATATTTTTGGCTGATCAAAACCAATCTTAACACTTTTGTCATGCTCAGCTATGAAATTGGATTTCAAGGGAAACCCTTGTAATCTTGGTTATTAAAGAAATGTGGAATTTCACTTCGTCTATTTGATTAGTATGAAATTTCACTGTTTCTATCTAAGGTGGAAAATTCACTGTTTTGGACTATTAGTGTGAAATTGCACCAAATCTGTCCCTATGGAAATCGGACACTGTTTTCAAAACCAATCTGAAAACAAATGTTTCATGAATAAATGTTATTTGAACTTTTTCCAAAGGGCTTTGGGTTGTTGGGAACCAATTCGGCACCTTTTTAGGGCAATTTCAGTTACTTGAATAAAACCGGACAGATTCGTTGTCAAGTCTGTCCTGGAAATCTCTGTCACTTTTGGACCACAGACAAGGCCTTAAATGCATTTTAAAGTTGGAAAGTAGTTCGGTATGTTTATTATTTCATCCAAATGAACAAGAATGGGAATTGGATCAAAATATCGAATTTGGAACTGATAAACCTGGAAGAGTGCTCCCACACACACTCTTAACCTTACTTTCAAAACTTTTAGACATTGACCTTGGTTGGTCAACTAGTAGACCTTCACAAACTAAATTGGGTTCCATCTGAAAATTATTTCCTTTAAGCTTAATCCTTTGGGTTTAAAAATCTGTGGCATGACATGTGCAGTTAGAATCCTTAGTAGAATGGATTTCAAATCACTCTTTTAATCTAGTTATTTCACATACATGATATATGGCATTTGAACTTGTGGTATATTACTTTAAAATACATTAGTTTGACTTGTTTGCATAGAAGCTTAAGCAGAAAACCTAATTAACTTCAGATCTGCTCATTTGAAATCTACTAATCCTAATGCAACCATATATTTTATTTCCTTTTTTTTTTTCTGTTGCTGATATTCACAGAAACTCATATTTGAGAAGCCGCCTCCTAATGTTCGTAAAATAGTACTTGCTACAAATATGGCAGAGGCAAGTATTACAATTAATGATGTTGTTTTTGTCATTGATTGTGGAAAAGCAAAGGAGACTACTTATGATGCATTAAATAATACTCCATGTCTTCTACCTTCATGGATATCACAAGCTTCTGCTCGGCAAGTAAGTTACCTTCTGCCCTTCTTTTACTACAGGGCATTTAAGCTTAAATGCTTTAATACGGTAATTTTAGATCGTAAGTATTTGATTGCGGGTGGTGGGTGTTTGCTTGATTGCATTGGGGAAGTTTGAAATTTGCTCTTGCATAATGAAGCTGTCTTTATGTGTACGTCTCAATGAGAGATATTCAAGTGGCTTAAAAAACTTACGGTAGGTAGTTGACAGCATGGTGGAAGACCTTTTAAAATAGTTTTTAGGGTGTCAGTGGCAATTAGCTTGTTGATTTTTTGTTGTCTTTTCCATTTGTTAGTTAATTACTTATCCATATATCTGTAACTCTTATTGCTAATGAGCATTTTTTATTTTGATGTTTTACATATGAATTGCAGAGACGAGGTAGGGCTGGCCGCGTGCAGCCAGGCGAGTGCTACCATCTATATCCACAATGTGTTTATGAAGCGTTTGCTGAATATCAACTTCCTGAACTTCTGAGAACTCCTTTGAATTCTCTCTGTTTGCAAATAAAAAGTTTGCAGGTGGGCAGCATAGGAGACTTTTTGTCAGCTGCTCTGCAGCCACCAGAATCATTGGCTGTAAGTAATGTTCACTTCTAGATCTTCTTGGTCATTTTTATTTCCTTGCTATCCGCATCTGTATCTTGATGACAGTCGTGGATCTTTCTGATATGTAGATCAGTGCCAAACTTGTTATTTATGGTAGTTCTGCTTGTCTGAATCTATTGAAAATGTTGTGGGTCATATTTAAAATTTAAATTGCTAGCTAGCATTTGATCTTTAAAAAGGGTTTACCAACCAAAAATCATAAACAATGGACATACATTCTTGTAATGTATTTTTTAAATTAATAAATTATACGAGTGTCACACGCCAATTCCCGCAACATAGAGACATCTAGTGGAAGAAGGTAAATGAGTAGATAGGTCCAAGTGAAGGCAACAACCCAAATAGTGGCCAAGGGAGGAGGGGAGGAATGTAAATATGGTCATTTATGTTGGTTCCCCCCGGAAAATAAGGCATACGAATATTACGACAGACGTGGTCCTGATGTTGCAGAAGGGTTCTATTGAGTCAATATGGTGTCCTACTATGATGAGATTGAAGAAATAGCCGAATACCAACCCCCTGATGTGTTGCCCAAGGCCGATTCACATGCTTATGCCTTACAAAACTCTGTCCAGTTTCACGCCTTCTTTGACTAGTTAGGCTTTACTGAAGCTGCCAGGCTGGAAGTAACATCAATGTTGCCAAGGTGCATCATGAAGAATGCATGGGTGCTGAGTAATTTGTTCCTCGCAAAATCTGCGAAGATTACAACTCCATTACTTTCTCTAAAGCGGATGGCAAAATATCTGTTCCCTCACAACCGTCCGCTCTATGTGACAGGTTGCATCGACAATGTGGAATTCAGGTGCGCTTTCCTTGATGGAGGAGCATCAATATAGATTAAAACCAAAGACACATTCGAGAAAGCTGGTATACCCAAGGAAGGTATGGTGCACCAATCAATTATCACCATGGGGTTTGGCGGTGGAAGGACGGTTATGTCATGGTGGACTTGGCAGTTGGCAAAATTCGTGTTGCCACTAAGTTCCATGTGATAGATGCGGATACAAATTACCATATAATACTGGGCAGACCATAGATGCATCGGTACGGGGTGATACTGTTAAGTTATCATCAGTGTGTTAAGGTGAAGCTTGGGAAGAGAACAATGATCATGAATGCCTCAGAAAAGTGGTTTGGGACAGAAGAGACACACTACTCTGACGCAGTCTTTTTTACTAAATTGTCAATTGAAGAAAGCCCGAGGGCAAGGAAGGTTGCTGGGGTAAAAATACTTCGGTGGGAGGAGAGGACATTAACAATGAAAAAGAAATGCCGATGACTAGCGGATAGAAGTGAGCTAGCGAATCACCAACCACCTCATGGAAAATTGTCAAAGTACGTGAAGGCGGTAAGACCGTCTATTACCTTTGACGGTGTTAGGCGCTGGGCTTCTTACCCTAGGAAGATGGCCTTGCGGCAAGCGGGTACGAGGAGGTTGTGTTAAATGAAGAATTGGTTGAGGAACCTGAAGCAGCCCCAGAATACATGCAGGATGGACCAAAGCTGCAACAAGAGATACTGGGTGAGGTTAACCTGGGTGAAATACCAGGGCAAGAAAAACATGTGTTCATTAGCAGCATAATGGCACCAGCAGCAAAAGGTGAATTGCTTGCACTTTGTAAACAATACACTAATGTATGATGAAATGCCGGGTTTGGATCCATCTCTTGTCACCCATCACCTCAATTCCTTTCCTAACTCTAGGATAGTAGGCAAGAAAGTATCATCCTGACCTTGAGAAAAAGATAAAAGAAAAGATGAAGAAGTTGTAGAAGGTGTTTTTTATCCTGCTAATTCAGTACCTTACTTGGTTGGCAAACATTGTACCAGTTAAGAAGAAAAAAATGCCAAATCAGAGTTTGTGTGGACGTCCGAGACCCGAACAAGGCCTGCTCAAAGCGAATTTCTGTTACGTCATGTAGATACCCTCGTAGACTCCTCCGCAAGACATCAAATATTCTTCTTCATGGATGGGTTCAGTGGATACAATCAGATAAAATTGGCAGAAGAAGACTCAGAATAGACAGCTTTCAGGATTTGGTTTACACGGTAATGCCCTTTAGGTTGAAAAACGCAAGGGCAACCTACTAGAGGGTGATGACCACTGTCTTTCATGACATGCTGCATCACGAGATAGAAGTCTATGTAGATGATTTAGTAATAAAATCTACTGAGGCGTGTCGGCACTTCCATGACCTGGAAAAAGTCTTCAAGAGATGTCAGAAGTATTGTGTGAAAATGAACCCGTTGAAATGCGCTTTCGGAGTCACTGTTGGAAAATTCCTCAGTTTCCTGGTACATCAGCATGGAATAGAGTCAGATGAAGACAAGATTAAATCAATCGTGGAAATGCCCCAACCTCACGCTCACCTTCTCTCAAGTTATTTACTGTTCCACATCACTTGTCTCTCTAGTGATATATAACACTACACATTTGGACCTCCAACAACTCTAAGTGCTCGTTTGGGAACTTGGTTATTTTAGTATCTTTTTGGCTATTTTATGAGATGAAAAAAAGTTGTGTTTGTGATGATTTGTGAGCTTTTTTTTTTTTTGGAAGTTGAATAGATGATTGTGAGAGAAAAAAAATGATTGATTGATGTGGAGGATGTGACATTTATTATTTTATTTTATTATTAAATTTTTTTTTTTTGTCTTTATTAGCTAGTTTAGCCAAACCCCAACTTTCCAAACAGCACTTCAATGCTGGCAAAAATAATTTATGGGACAACACACTAATTAAAGTTACCTGGTTTTAACTTTTTAGTGAAAAATGACCCGAAAAGGCGTCAGGTTGGGTCTCGGCCAACTCAATACCCCTTGAGCTAAAAAGCCTTAATAGTCCCCTAGAGTGCCAAAATCAAAATCTTGGGTAGAATCCACATTTTGAAGAAAAATCCCATTTCAAGTGTCAAAAGGTGGGTTTTTAACACCTAAGTTGCCTAGTTTACCAAAAATATTTACATTCACTTTAGTTTATTAAAACTCAATTTTTAATTAATGGTAAAGTCTTCCAATGAAATCGTTCCCCTATGCCATGGTAAGTAAATTCGTACACGTCTAAGGTTTAACTACACCACTACATGCGTTTACTAAAAATATTACAAGCATACATGTAATTCAAGATGTTACAAGTCAAATTAAGAGACAAATCCTCCATCAAAATAAAAGGGGAAAGGTACAATGCCCAATGCTTGAAAATGTAAGGGGTGAGCACGATGGCTCTGTAAGGATAATGTCTAGCAAACTACATAAGCAAGTAACGTGTAGATATTTCCATGGTCACATAACCACATAACCAAATAACATGGTAACCATTCTATACTTAGCATACATGTTTTCCACTATCCAATTCCAAGTCGTTATCCCATGTTACTAAAATGAGTAAATTACATGATCAAGTGTAGAGTATTTTGAATGCTATGATTGTTTTATATTCAACTTTAACCCATTACAAGGATTTCAATTACCCACCTTCTTTATTTTCTCAAGTTTTGTCACTACCCTAGGCTAATGTAAGTGAGTTGTTCATCCATAAATAACCACATAATATCATTATGCAATCCTTATTATTATTATTATGCTCTCCAATATATGTTAAGATGACCTGTTTAATTGTATACAGTTATTATTAATAAATATAGTGATCATGGATTCTGCACCAGCTCAGTTTGTCACATGAGAGATGTGTAGGCTTCCTTTAGTCTTATTCATGATTCTATAAGTGAAACAAGTTGGATTTAATTTGTTGCAGGTCCAAAATGCTGTTGATTTTTTGAAGATGATTGGAGCATTGGATGAGAATGAAAATCTCACACATCTTGGTGAGTATATGGTTTTTTGTATGAAAAATAGATGTATTAATGAATTTTTTTTTGCTAGTCTGATCGATAGTCTTCTATTTATTTCTTTTAACCAGGAGGGTTTCTGTCAATGCTGCCAGTAGATCCCAAGCTAGGGAAAATGTTAATAATGGGTGCTATCTTCAGTTGCTTTGATCCTATTCTGACAATTGTGGCTGGACTTAGTGTCAGGGATCCTTTTCTTTTGCCTCAAGATAAAAAAGATGTGAGTATAAAATTCAGCATCCTTTTCTTTTGCCTAAAGAAAAAGGACGCAAGTATAAAATTCAGTATTATTATTATTATTATATTTTAACGTGTTAACATGCATTGTTCCTTGCCTCTGCAATTTTTTGTTTTATGCAACTTCGGAATCATGAAGTAACTTGTTGAGCATCCTTTTTATACTTTGGTGAAATGTGAGATTCGTAAGAAAGTGCGTTATGAAAACAAAGATGTTACCAGTTATGTAACCAGGTCTTGTTAGTTGAAATGACTGTAAGAATTGAAATAAGGTAAAAAGAACTCTATTAAAGCTAATTTTGTTTTGATCTGAGTGGATTTGAGGTTGCTTTCTATTGTCTGATTGTGGTTGGAGTTAAATTTCTTTGACATTCACAATCTAAACTCAATTCAAGCTGTTTAATTTTGATTGATTGATTAATTTGCTCCTAAAGTTCAGTTCAATTCAGATTCTGTTCTTTGTTTGATTGTTGATCGGCTTCGGTTTCTTTATTCTTCCCAGTCATATTGGGAGTGTGATTTCACTAAGATTCTTGACCAAGGTTAGTTGGTTTTGCATATATGAGGAATATACAGTGCAATGTTTTTCTTTATATTCTAAGCTATCGTGAGTTGGCTCTTCTTGTGATCCAACACCAACTGGTCTGCAAATTGAAGATAGACTTTGCTCTTGGATTTGATTTCAAGATTTGCGTTTTGTTTTTGGGACTCAATCGATAATTTTGTGACTGCAGCAATCTCAGCAATGAGCTGATCTGTTGATCAAAACTGTGATTTGTCCATACTGAACCCTAGAAGATCCGATTTGGTTGCGAAGTTAGCTCTGCACTTGATCAAAGCTCGTCTCTTAGATCCTTGTTAGAAACTCCTAGATTTTTCAGATATGAGTTCAAAAAGGCCTCTTAGATCCTTATTCGAAACTCCTAGATCCTTTAGGTTTGAGTTCAAAAAGGCCTGATTGAGGTTAATTTGACTTTGAATCTCTTGGATCTGATTTGAAACTTTTAGATTTCTTCAAACCCCTTAGATATAGTTTGATTTGGTTTGATTCCTTAAGTTCTGTATTCGATGGACCTTTTGGTTGATTTCTCTGGTCTGAAAAGTTATGTGAGTTGGATTAACAGGGCTACTGTGAATAAGATCTGCTCATCTTTTAGTTTCAATTTGATGGGTAGAGATCACACTGCAATTTTTTGGTGATGGTGCTGAGTTGAATCGACTTAATGGAAGGATGATGTTTTTCAAAATCCAAATTAATACCATTGAGATAATGTTAACTTTGCAAGCTTCAAAGAGCTTCTTTGAAGAAGTATGTTTGGTGCTCCTTTATGCCTCGATAGGAAGTTGGCTTGAGTTGAGTAAGTTGCTGGTTGTGAATGCTCATTTCACAGTTGTTTCCAAGGGACGGAAGGAAGCAGTGCAATGCAGAATTTTAGCTCTTGGGTAGTTTCTCTCATGTTGTTCTTACCTAGTGGATGCATTGTCAATCCCATCATTTCTGTCACATCCCTTAGCCTTGTTTTGGAAGATATCATTTACCAGTCAGTAGTCCCGTCCCGACAGGATGAGTACTTGTCTGTACTAGTCTGCAGGTTAGAGGTGAAGAGGTTTGGAAAATGGTAGTCTCTCCGAGCTTTAGTGAGAGGGTATGGACATGATGGGAGTTGTCAATTGTGCACCTTTGGTTGTTTAGCAAAGGATGCAGTTCCAATTTATTCATAGAAAGATGAGTTGTGAGAATCATGTTGGTGTTGAGCAAGGAAATACAGTGCTTGTTCCTCTCCTCAGGATAAATGAGTGGTGAAATTGAGTTCTTAGTTGTTGCTTAAACCTGATGACACGTTTCTTCTCTTCCAAGAGAGGGAGTGCTGATGTAGTAGAACAAATAGGTTAGTGTATGTTAAGTGGCCTATTGTTGCAGTCTATAAATAGGTGATGTAATACCCATTGTGCTTGGATTTTAATTGGAGATCATTGACATTGATTAGAGCAAAGTGCTTTGGTTCTCTTTGTAACCCTTAGGGCATGTTTGATTGGATGGATTAGAGCATAGATTGGGATTATTAATCGGTGGGCCCAATTATCCAATGTTTTTTTTAATATTTTGGTTTAGGATTATTAATCCAATGGATAATTAATTCAACAAATTTTTAGGATTATTAGTAATGGGATAGGGGTGGGATTATTAATCTAATGGATAATTTATCCTATTAATCCAATTGGATAGTGAATACCACACTAATTTGATAGGATTATTAATACCTCACTATTAGTCTTGTGAATCAAACATAGCCTTAGGGGTTTAACCCCCTAATTGGGTATTCTCTTCACTCTCTTGATTTTGGAATTTGAATGCAAATTTGTTTGCATCAGTCATGTAAAACCTATAGATGCCATGGTAAGGAAGAGTGATATGAATGTCATGAATGAAAATGTTTGGGGAAGGGAAAAACCTAGACTAACATGGGATGCAGTAGTAATAAAGGATATGCATATAACCTTGACAGAGCATAATAGTAAAAAAAGGATTCATGTAGCCGACACGACTTGATTGGGACACAAGGCTTAGTGTAGGTTGATTTGGTTTGGTTTTTTAAAATAAAATTGTTTGTGTGCGCGCTTATACGTATGGATGGGAAAAGAAAGGCTTCTTATAGGCTTTTTCTTAAAACCTTTGAAGAGATGGAACAGGTTAATTGATTTTTCTTCCCTTCCAACATGGCTAGTCATTAAGAAACTAGATTGGCTGTAAACTCAATAGAAAAGAGAGAAACCAGCAATTTTCACAATTCTAACATCCAATTTTCAGAGGAAAGAAGTCTAGATCCCAAAAAATTTCTTGTCCTTTTTGCTATTAAAATGGTCAAAGCCAGGAGTCCAGGACTCTTGATGTTTCAGGTGGTTTACCCTGGGATGCTTTTGAGCAGCCATTTCCATAATAATCATGGCATCATCATCTGAAAGATTGAAGAGGATGTTACTCATATGATTATAGTTCAATCACTACTTTTAATTTTTTTACATGCTGCTGTACTTGGTTTCACTTTTCATATTTTCTCGAAGTTAAAAGGAAACATTTAGGAGAATGTGTTATATACAATAGAAGTTGTGTGCAATGTTAAATATGTGCTCAAAGGTTGTATTTCTTTATTTTAATAATGCTAAAGATTGAATTCTTTAAGCAATTAAGCATGTATTTATAACTAAATGTTGGGCCCACAACCAATGTTGCATGATCTTTCCTCTGTTTTGAGTGTCACAAGTGTGATTCTCATATAACATAACAATGCTGAAAGATGGGACAAACTGAGATGAGTGGAAAAACTCAGAACTGGAGAAAAATGTTTTCAAGACATTTAGGATAGCCCTGATGGTTGGTAAAATGAAGAGTAACGAGGCGATGAAGAATCAAACTTGAAGATTGGAACTTGAAATTTTGGAGTTGAAGACTGCAGATGTCATGCATGGATTAATAGAATAACTAAATATCATGTTTTACTTGAGCATGTGATATATGACATGAGATGGATGAAGGCCTATATTACCAACTGCAGAAAAGTTGTGGATCACAAGTTATTGAATCTTGTGTCAGCTTTAAGAAGAATCGGTTCGTTGTTTGGAAAGGCTTTCTGTTGGAGAAGAGAGGGGGGAAAGCTGAGACATGCATATTTTGTATGAAAGCTGACAGTTGACAGGGATAGAAAAGGAGTTGGATAAGGAATAACTGTTGGTTTGAATCACCTCAGGTTTAGTTTAGTCAGTAACGATTGTTTCAGTTTGTGTTCGATTTGGTTCGAAACTCATCAGATTTGGTTCGAATCTCTTTGATCCTACATATCTGTGTTCGTAAGGCTTGATTGAAGTCTTCTTTGATGAGATTTGGTTCGTTATTTCTTAGATTTGTATTCGAATTGGTTTGATTTGGACTGATTTGTGTTTGATTGGTTTAGATCTTGGGGGTGGTTCAACTTCAGTTCACTTTTACAGATTTCTCTTTGATTGATCAGAGTTGAATTGGTGTGCTTTGTTTTGGGTGGCTCACAAGTGTTGATGAACATTAGTGGCGATATTGGTGCACATCTACCAATTGGAAGGAATGATGCCATTCAAGATCAAAATCAGAATCATCGAGACGAGATGAGATGAAACAAATGAGTAGATCAGTTGTTATTTTGGAAGAGTTGGTGTAGTGAATGCAACCTCTTGCAAGCATATAATGATATAACTTTGCAAGTTTCAAATAGCTTCTTTGAAGTTGCATGTTTGGTATGCCTCTATTTTTCTTTAGGAAGTTGTTTTTGAGTTAAGTAGGTTGTTTCTTGTGATGCTTAGTTAGCCATTGTGTCCAAAAGGAAGGAAGGAAGCGAGGAAGGAGTGCAATGCCGAATTCTAGCTCGTGATCAGTTAAGCTCATGTGTTTTTCCTAGTGGATGCTTTGTCCATCTTGTCATTGTGTCATGTTTCTCAGCCTTGCTTTTGAAGATGTCTTCTACAGTTGGTCTCATTCCAACAGGATGAGTACTCTTCTGCTCAAGTATGCAGGTTAGAGGTGAAGGGGTTGGGAAATGGGGGTCTGTCCAAGGTTTAGCGAGAGTGTATGGACACACCTATGGTGGTTTAGCCAAGGAGAAATTTCTGTATCAATCTTACACCAGAGTTTCTTCAATTCCAACAAAAGGAAAAATTGGTGAACACCCAAGGATTTATTTATAAGAACAGTAAACCGAGACAAACATTCATTCAGCGTCAATTGTCTCAAGGTATTCAAATAAACAAAGGGATGAGCACCAACTATTTGGATACACAGAGTGAATCCATAACTTTGAAGTTTCTGATATGTAGGATCCACAAAAGAGTGGCAACCATAGAGCATACGCTTCGAAAGTTTAGAAGAAACAATGGGCAAATGCAAGGATGTAGTGCAATGTCTTCACAGACGGCTAAATTGTGAGAATCATGTTTGTTCTTGAGCAAAGAAACGCAGCACCTGTTCCTCACTTACGATTACATGAGTAGTGCTACATTGAGCTCAATTAGCTGCTGCTTAAATTTCAGGACAAGTTTCTTCAAGAGGGTACTGATGTAGTAGAATAAATACCTTAAGTGTATGTTAAGTGGCCTACTAGTTGTAGCCTAATTGTAGTCTATAAATAGGTGATGTAATACTATTTTACTGAGTTTTAATTGAAGAATATTGATATTGAATAGAACCCAGAGCTTTGGTTTCTCTCTTCAACCGCAAGGGGTTTATCACTATTTGGGAATTTGTTCTCTCTCTCTCTCTCTCAATTGATATTTGATTTGCATTTTGATTGCATTATTTGGTATCAGAACACAGATTCTGTGTTTCATCAGAGTTTATACCATATATGCAATTTGCAATCATAGTTCTAGTTAAGATGCAATAGAGTGGATATTATGTTCATGAGTCAACTGCACAGAATTGCTTATGGAATCAGTAAAAGAAACAAAAATATATTTCTAAGGCTTCGGCAAAACATTTCCATTCAATACTTACAGCATAAAGCAAGACCTGGCCATCATCCATTGTTTTGAAGGACATGGATGTCTCCCTGTGCTGCACATGTAGAGGAAAGTAGCACATGTTATCTGAACTGAAATCTATTCGATAAAAATTACAAGTGCAACTGCAAGTAGAGTTACTGTACCACTACAGATGCTATTCCAGGAAAGAGGCCAGAACATATAATTGCACGAACCAATGACTGGTTGTGACTTAATCTATTGTTAGTGCCAGCATCGGCATCTAGCAATCCAGCACCTTTCAAAATGAAGCTAAATTGCTTCCGAAGAGAATGGATGGCTTGAAGTGTTTGGGCAGAAAGGAAATTCCTCCAGCAGTACTCATATGCTGATCCTCCTCTTTCTGCATCTTTCCATCCTTCATATGCACGAACAAGTGCCATATGATCACTATAGTCCTTTGCAGAAAATCTGGACTTTGCTGTACCTGCTAACTGAATCCAAAAATATAGACATGCATTAATGAGATTTCTTCACAAAGTAAACATAGTGCACACAAAACTAGAATCATTCCCAACATCAAGCAAGTATGAATGGTTGCATTCATGGAATCATGGTTGATTACTGTTTGACCAACGTACTATACAAAAAGAGTAGCATGTTATTTGAACAAGGCCATTGTAGGCTTGCAGGGATTATAATGCAATGAAAATTGCACAAATCACATAACACATGCATTGCACACAGGGCAATGAGACTGATCAAAACAACCTTTTGTGATCAATAATATGGACCATTTGAGCATTCGTAACAGAATTTCCTTGATTAGGAAGATGCAGAGAAACAATAGCCAATAAAGTGAAGCTTAAAAGATGATCGTCTCTAAGGCCTTTAACATTTTTTATCCAAAGAACTGATTATCAGAGAATTTCCCACCACTATTCAACATGTAATCAATTTTCTCGACTCTCTGAATGTCGGAGGGGCTCAACATAAAGTTTATAATTAAACAGGAGTACGGGTATCCTAGTGTTAATGTAAATTGTATAAATTTACCATCACCTACCACACACTTACCATCACCTACCACACACTCACCTACTACACTCACCTACCACCACCATCCACTACACCTACATCTATATAAGGAACCATTTGTAATAGACAGAATATCAATCAGTACAACAATCAATCAATTAATCAATCAATAATACATCTATTTTTTACATGGTATCAGAGCTATAGGTTAAAGATTTTGGTGTTCTTCGCCTTCCGGCGGGCGGCAACCTTGCCTTGACCGCCCGCCGGGTCTCAACCAAACTGTACCATACTATACCATAGTAAGTAACCATTTGCAGAGACCAGAATAGTGAGAATGGCCACTATGAACCTCCCTTTCTATCTTCTTTTTCTACACCATGGATGACTTTCGGAGAAGCCATGTACCGGCTTCCGGAAGCTGGGATTGCACCGACGATCTCCCTTTTCACTCAGTGCTTCGAATCGGCGAGGCAAGCCGGCTTGCTTCGCTACAGCTACTCTGCAGATCGCGATCTCTACGTCGCCGGCGATTTGTACGAGAACGACGTCGTCCCCTTCCTCCTCAAATACCAGCTCCCCAACGACGACCTCGACTCCCTCATCTCCGTCACCACTGTCCCGTTCGTTTTCCAGCTTGGGATTGCCGTCGGCCCATCTCCTCTTCCTCCTAATCCCAGGTTTGAGAACCCACCGGCTGGAGGGGTCTCGAAATCACCGTTGTCCAGCAATCCGTCTTGTAATTGTCCAGCAGCTAAATGAAGAAGAAGTAGCCCAGAGAGTGAGACCCATTTGGTTCTTGTTGAGCTCCAAACAATCCTCATAGCCATATGTATGTGTGTTCGCACTCTCTTTTCACCTTTCTCTCACTTCCTTCTCTCTCTAAAAACAGCGTACTGCACACACTCACTTGATGAGTGCTCAAGGTAAGAAGAACTATACTGTGAGAGAGGGAGTGAGACGAGTAGTGTCCTTTTATCTGAGATTCCAGGTCCAGCCACTTGGCCTCTTTACTCTCTCTCTCTCTCACAGTATAGTTCTTCTTACCTTGAGCACTCATCAAGTGAGTGTGTGCAGTACGCTGTTTTTAGAGAGAGAAGGAAGTGAGAGAAAGGTGAAAAGAGAGTGCGAACACACATACATATGGCTATGAGGATTGTTTGGAGCTCAACAAGAACCAAATGGGTCTCACTCTCTGGGCTACTTCTTCTTCATTTAGCTGCTGGACAATTACAAGACGGATTGCTGGACAACGGTGATTTCGAGACCCCTCCAGCCGGTGGGTTCTCAAACCTGGGATTAGGAGGAAGAGGAGATGGGCCGACGGCAATCCCAAGCTGGAAAACGAACGGGACAGTGGTGACGGAGATGAGGGAGTCGAGGTCGTCGTTGGGGAGCTGGTATTTGAGGAGGAAGGGGACGACGTCGTTCTCGTACAAATCGCCGGCGACGTAGAGATCGCGATCTGCAGAGTAGCTGTAGCGAAGCAAGCCGGCTTGCCTCGCCGATTCGAAGCACTGAGTGAAAAGGGAGATCGTCGGTGCAATCCCAGCTTCCGGAAGCCGGTACATGGCTTCTCCGAAAGTCATCCATGGTGTAGAAAAAGAAGATAGAAAGGGAGGTTCATAGTGGCCATTCTCACTATTCTGGTCTCTGCAAATGGTTACTTACTATGGTATAGTATGGTACAGTTTGGTTGAGACCCGGCGGGCGGTCAAGGCAAGGTTGCCGCCCGCCGGAAGGCGAAGAACACCAAAATCTTTAACCTATAGCTCTGATACCATGTAAAAAATAGATGTATTATTGATTGATTAATTGATTGATTGTTGTACTGATTGATATTCTGTCTATTACAAATGGTTCCTTATATAGATGTAGGTGTAGTGGATGGTGGTGGTAGGTGAGTGTAGTAGGTGAGTGTGTGGTAGGTGATGGTAAGTGTGTGGTAGGTGATGGTAAATTTATACAATTTACATTAACACTAGGATACCCGTACTCCTGTTTAATTATAAACTTTATGTTGAGCCCCTCCGACATTCAGAGAGTCGAGAAAATTGATTACATGTTGAATAGTGGTGGGAAATTCTCTGATAATCAGTTCTTTGGATAAAAAATGTTAAAGGCCTTAGAGACGATCATCTTTTAAGCTTCACTTTATTGGCTATTGTTTCTCTGCATCTTCCTAATCAAGGAAATTCTGTTACGAATGCTCAAATGGTCCATATTATTGATCACAAAAGGTTGTTTTGATCAGTCTCATTGCCCTGTGTGCAATGCATGTGTTATGTGATTTGTGCAATTTTCATTGCATTATAATCCCTGCAAGCCTACAATGGCCTTGTTCAAATAACATGCTACTCTTTTTGTATAGTACGTTGGTCAAACAGTAATCAACCATGATTCCATGAATGCAACCATTCATACTTGCTTGATGTTGGGAATGATTCTAGTTTTGTGTGCACTATGTTTACTTTGTGAAGAAATCTCATTAATGCATGTCTATATTTTTGGATTCAGTTAGCAGGTACAGCAAAGTCCAGATTTTCTGCAAAGGACTATAGTGATCATATGGCACTTGTTCGTGCATATGAAGGATGGAAAGATGCAGAAAGAGGAGGATCAGCATATGAGTACTGCTGGAGGAATTTCCTTTCTGCCCAAACACTTCAAGCCATCCATTCTCTTCGGAAGCAATTTAGCTTCATTTTGAAAGGTGCTGGATTGCTAGATGCTGATGCTGGCACTAACAATAGATTAAGTCACAACCAGTCATTGGTTCGTGCAATTATATGTTCTGGCCTCTTTCCTGGAATAGCATCTGTAGTGGTACAGTAACTCTACTTGCAGTTGCACTTGTAATTTTTATCGAATAGATTTCAGTTCAGATAACATGTGCTACTTTCCTCTACATGTGCAGCACAGGGAGACATCCATGTCCTTCAAAACAATGGATGATGGCCAGGTCTTGCTTTATGCTGTAAGTATTGAATGGAAATGTTTTGCCGAAGCCTTAGAAATATATTTTTGTTTCTTTTACTGATTCCATAAGCAATTCTGTGCAGTTGACTCATGAACATAATATCCACTCTATTGCATCTTAACTAGAACTATGATTGCAAATTGCATATATGGTATAAACTCTGATGCCATGTTTGGTTAAATGGAATGAAAAGGTAATAGAATAGAATGCTCATTCCTTAGTGTCCTTACGGAATGATCATTTACTTTCAATGGTGACTGATGATTCCATTTGCAATATATTTTTAGTGAACCAAACACCACCTGAGATTTTGTGTAGTGTTTCACTTATGCGAATTGAGTGTGGATTGGACAAGATCTTAATTGATGAAAATATATTTCTATAGATGAGAATTGACACCTGAGATAAATTTGTGGGGTTGGGGCGGGGGCATTTCTTCTACATATGGCTTAGGATGCCTGTAATGTACATGTCTCTGGCCAAAAGTGGCCCCATCCACCCTAATCTAGTTTTTCTGCTGAAGCTTGGTCTGTGTCCTGATTTAAATTGTTTTACTTTGGCCTCCACGATGATGTAATAAACTTTCAACTAAAAATAAAAGTTGAATATAAGTTTAAAGATCCTTCTCTGAAAGGGAAGAAAAGGGCTTGTGCAGATTAAAACCGTCATCTACATTGGGAAGAAAATGATTATGGCAATCATCCGATAGCGTAGTTATCAAACAAGATGTGCACTGCATGCAAATTTTTGTTTTTATGGATCTCTTTCTTGGTTAAGACAACCACAGCCCAGGTGCAAATTTTTATTTCTTTTGCAGTTTGAAGCAGTAGCTGCAAATTTTCTGTATTTGTTTTAAATTTTTTTTTTAATTTGCAGCAGTTTAATCTCTAGAAGAACGTATTTGTATGAAACCTGCATGAAGAGTTGACTTTTTCATTGCCATGATAAAATATGATTTATGGAGACAGACCTCTTATGGGATTATCTCATTTTAATCATGCTCAGTCAACTGCTTTTGCACTGTACGAGCTTGGCTTTTCCTAGATATGCCTATTTATGCATAAATTCTTGCATGCATACATGTTTACTACATGCGTACATATGGTAAATACACAATTATCGTCTCTATGTTTAACTGAGAATATTTAAATATATTCCATCATGACACCATGCTTAACTCCTCAATTATCTCTCCCAAAATTGTTTATCCATTTTTTGAGAAATCATTGGATGGAGAAACTTTCAAATTGGAATGATAAAAATTGTTGTCCAAAATGATCTGATGAGTGATGAGAACATTTTGGCCAGGGAAAGAGAGTGCATACCTATAATTAGGAATTTTCCCCTTTCTAAAGGATACCCCTCAACTGCTAGACTCTGTTCTACGAGACATTTATCTGATGATGCTAATTATTTTGCTTCAGAATTCGGTGAATGCACGTTACCAGACTATTCCGTACCCATGGCTAGTCTTTGGTGAAAAAGTGAAGGTCAATACTGTTTTCATACGTGATTCTACTGGTGTTTCTGATTCTATTCTGATCCTTTTTGGTGGTAATCTCAACCATGGAGTCTTGGTAATTTCCTTCATTGCCAAATGTTTTTTGTGTTTAGTTTTGAATGAAATCACTCTGTAAAATTTACTTTACCAAAAGAAATCACTCTGTAATTTCTTACAAGAATCTCTGATCGATTCCTTGCCTTGGAGCCGGGACATATTGAAAAATGTTATGGAAGGCATATTGAATTCCTTACATGGATCAAGTCTGTTAGACTGTTACAATGTGAAGCTTAAGCAGAACTTGATAACTTCTTCTGCAAAAGAGCTAAGTTTTCAAACGACTAACCTTAAAGAACATGTTTGTCTGTAGGTTTTAGTTTGTCTATTAACAAGGTGCATATATGTCTGTACATACACACACATATAGTGCCTTACAGGAAATCATTGTTCCATATTCTGCCCCTTCAAGCAAGGATAGCGGCGTGAACAATTCTCTTATTCTCAAATACAAGCCTTGATTGCCATAAATGCATCCCATAGGTTATGCCAAATCTCTATTGTTTCTTTTTATAATTTTTTAGGAACTAAAAATTCTTTTTAAGTGATTATCATGCCAAGTTCTATTTCCAAACCGTGTGTTATGCTGGTTCATTCTGTGGGAGAAAGGGTACTTTGCATGAACTAATAACACATTGCTAAAAACAAAGCATCTGCAAGTTCGAATTTAGCTTATGTCATCAAGACTAAACTTGTATGTATCATGTTAGCTAGCGCCTAGCTTTGTGCATGGCTTGACATATACTCTACCCATCCATTTGCTGTACATCCCACAATTCTTGTACATGTGCTATGGTCTGTGAGTGGTGAACTCCCAACCCCAAAGCTAGCTTGTGAAGTGAGGGTACCCCTCGAGCCACTTCACGTCCCCTTTGTACCTAGCTATGTAGAACTTCGCATCATAGTGAGCACATTAATTGGTTGGAACTTCTTTTCTCCTTTTTGCTTCCTCCTGGAAGGGAGGGATGTCAGCCTCCCTTTTAAGTTTACCAATCCAACAAAATTTAACTTTCAGGGATTAGCCACTTATTCTAAAATTATAGTAATGGGTTGGACCGAGTAGCCATTCGATTAAAGTGCTAGAGTGTATGGGGGTTGTTTCCCATTTTTGAAACCACAGTCTACGGATTGTTATTTGTACATACAACCTTTTTTGTGCTGTTTAGATATCAAAATTAATAAAAAAATTAATTAAGAAGTATCCGATACTTTTAAGAAGTATCCGATACGTATTCGCGAGTATCCGAGGAGTATCGGTATCCGATAAGTTCCGCCAAATTCCTCTATTATAATTGAAGAGGAGAGAGAGAACAAAGAGAGAAGAGTTTATAAGAACTATGGAGGCTATAGAATTGGACTCTGCCGACCTGTACATGAGAAACAGAGCACTTAAACTCTTTTTTCTCTGCAAATTTAATTTGTTTCTAGGGCTAATCCAATTTTGTACCCCTAGGCTGATTAATAAATGTAAAACTACGGAACTAACCACTGGCCTTGTGTCTATATGCCAAGTGGTATCATGTTGGCTTTCTTGACCATTTTTTTTTTAAGAATACTTAAATTTTGAAAAATAATAAAAAAATTTAATACATATATATATATATTTTAAAATGAAAATAGTATCAAATGTAATTGAAATGGGACCCTAAGACTTCACCTTATTGTTTTTCCCCAATGGACTTAATCAAGGTTCAAACTTACAATATTGGTTGTTGACTCAAGGACTACTAAGATAATTTGATTAGTGTATTTCATCAATGGGGCAATATGTAAAGATAAGCCATGGACAAAATTTCCTTTTTAAAATTTAAACCAGTGTTACCCAAAAATGCTAATACCGTAGCGATTTATGTTTTGGAACACATGTTCTGAAACATGATACACTTTCGTTCCAAAACAGAGAATTTAGTGATCCAAAGCATTCCTAAAATTTCTCCATTATATTTTCTGTAAAGTTTCCTATAGAAAGAAAAAATTGAAATATAATGAACTAAAACTCAAAGAGAATAGAGCTTTTGCATTACGGAATATAAAAACAATGGACCATAATGCTTCTAGAATAGCATTTTTATATTATTAATTTATAACAATATTTTATTGGATGCCTAACTATTAAAATATAATTGCTCTTATATTTAATAGTCTCTTAAATTCTAGTAATGTGATCTATAGAACCCTAGCCCTATTGCACCACATTTTAGAGCATGTGGTGTACCTCGTTTTCGTTCCTATTCCTCGTACCGGAACTTGTGTTCCATGTAACATAGATTTAAACTACAATAGAGGTAAAATAATGACAATCACCATCGAATGTACATGAACTAGATCTAAGCCAAACTAAGCCTCGTGTCCAATTAGGTGGGGTCGGCTACATAATTCTTTTTCGTAATTCCGCTCTGTCAAGGGCTATATGTTTAGTTAAATTAAATAAATTTTGTATCCTTTTTTACTACCACAGGCCCACAGCCCATGTCAATTTAGGTCCTCCTCGCCTCCCAAACATTTCCATTGATCATTTCTATCTTACTTACCATTACATTTACAAGTTCTTGTTGTATATAGCCGAACCTAGGAAGCACGGATACAGATACGGGATACGGATACGATACGATACGATACGGATACGGCGATACGACTAAATTTGAAAAATTAGGATACGGGTATGGCGGGGATACGTTCATAAAAAATATTATTTTAACAATTTTTAGTAATGCAGTATGTATAAAAATAAAACCTAAAGCAAAAGACAACTTGATAAAGAAGAAAGATTCCTATAAAACTAAGAGTCTTCAAGGTCAATAGCTTCAACTTGTTTCCCTTTATTAGTGAATATCACAAGACCTTAGCTAAAGTGAAAAAACCATTCTTAAATAAAAATTTCAGCAAATATACTTTTTTAAGTCATCAATGATAGCCTAGGAAGCACGGATACGGATATGGTGATATGGGGATGTGGATATGGCGATATGTCAAAATTTGAAAAAGTATGATACGGGTACAACGGGGATACATTCGTAAATTTTTTTATTTTATTTTATAATTTTAATAATGTAATATGTATGAAAATAAAACTTAAAGTAAATTAATAAATAAAGAAAGGGATTCCTATTAACTTAAAAGTGCTCAAACATTTATAAAACATCCAAAACTAAAAGCAAAAGCAAATGCAAATGCAAATTAAATATCATCCTTACATGCCAACACTAAAAAAAGAATGAGAGCAGAGAGAAGAAACGTAAGAGAGTGAGAAAGCAAGAGAGAAGTGAGAGAGACAACAAGGATACATCAATTTGACAAATTCTATTACTTTAACTCTCACTATATTCCTCTTATTAAAGAACTAAACAAAATATTATAAGTAATATGTAACTTCGAGTATCCGATACTTCAAAATTAATAAAAAATTAATTAAGAAGTATCCGATACTTTTAAGAAGTATCCGATACGTATTCGCGAGTATCCGAGGAGTATCGGTATCCGATAAGTATCCGATACGGATACGTCACCCTTTTTGAAGTATCCGTGCTTCATAGAGCTGAACCATCTTCTCCTTCAACTTGTCTTCAGTTGGAGCTACTCCTGCCATTTTATGATTATATTTATTTCTAATTTTTTCTTTCCTATCTTTACTGTACATCAGTCATAATATCTCGATTTTAGTTTCACTCATTTTTTGAATGTGTTGTTTCTCAGTTGCTCAACATTTTGTCTTGTAAAACTTCACTGGCCTTATAATAGTTCTATAAAAATTTTCTTTCAATTTAAATATGCTAGAAGCATTCCTCCACTTGAGCGTGCCTACATCGAGTCTATGGATTGCATCATCTCCAAGACTCCGACTTCTCTGTCCTTCATTAATTATTGAACCCAAGTTACAAAAATGTTCACTCTTTGTTATCTCCTAGTATTTGATCTTCACATTCCCATTTCTACTTCTAATGTCACTAAAAACTAAAGTTCATTCCATCTATTCAGTTTTAGTTATACTACTTTTAAACTCTTTTGACTTGAGTAATTCTCAACAGACCATCCGCTAGAACAATATCAAACATACTCCATGGGACATCATCTTGACGTGCTTAGTTAATTCGTCCATGACTAAGCCAAATAGGCAAGGACTCAAAGCTGACCCTTGATGCAATACGATAGTGATTGGGTTATTCACTAGTTTCTCCTATACGTAATGTAAGTATAGTCACAATCCCATCATCAGATGTTTCCGGAAAGTTTTGAAAATTGTCATGTCGGCATGTCCATGTGGCATTGCGTTGCAATTTTGGAAAATTGTCGTGTCAACTTGTCCATGTGTCATGTGTTCATATCCATGCTTCTCAGGTCTTAGTAATCAAAAGGATGAACATTTCTTATTTTGAAGACATAGTCATAGTTAAGATAAGATGCAAGCCTACATAAACACATGTAATCTTTTGGTGCAATAAGAGTTGAGTTTTGGAGAATTTGTGATTTGGTTTTGTGTAAGATTGTTTAACCTCTGCAAGTCATTGGTTTTCTTCTTCTTCTAATTATTTTTAGCAAGTTCTAGCACTTTGTACTCTACAGGTGCACCTTAAAAGTCAATGCTTTCAACCCTCAAATCATCGTTTAGCCAAATTGTTAGAATTTACCATCACCTACTACCACTACCACCTCACCTACTCCACTAAACCTAACCCACTACACCACTACCACTTCACCTACTTCACTAAACCTAACCCACTACACCACTATCACCATCCACTACACACCATCCACTACACCTACATCTATATAAGGAACCATTTGTAATAGACAGAAAATGTATCAACACAACAATCAATAATACATAAATTTTTACATGGTATTAGAGCAAGGTTAAAAACTTGGTATTTTCGCTTCACCGGCGGGCGGCAGCCTCGCCTTGGCCGCCCGCCGGACCTCTCATCTTCCAACTCTTTCTGCATGACTTCCATCACAGTGAAGGCACAAGCCCTGTTCAGATCAACCTTGCCAGTTTCAATCATCACCTTCAGCCTCACCCACTCCTTGAATTTCTCAATGCCCAACAAAAACTGCATGATGGACCCTTCGGAGAGGTTCTGAAATCTGCCCAGGAAGCAATAGTTTTGCCTCCATGGGTTGCTCTTGCTATTCGGTTGAGGCCCGGTGTCTGGGAATACATCCGAGTGAATATTAATGCCCTTGTTGTTGAGGAGTTGAGCGTCCCGGAGTATCTTCATTTCAAAGAAGAACTTGTTGAAGGACCTCGCAATGGCAACTTTGTTCTTGAGTTGGATTTCCTCAACAGGCACCTCTCTGCAAAAATGTTCCATGACAAGGAAAGCATGCTACCTCCATTATTTCCAACCCACAGGCTGCTCTCTCTCTCTTTTCTCTCTCTCTCTCTCTCGGTCTGAACAACCAACAATGCCGTCGCCGGAACTCCACGGCCACCGCCAAAAGAACCACCAACAGAGGCGGAGGCCGCCAGCGACGCCTCCGACACAATCACATCTCCGCCGACACCCGGCTTCACCGGCTGTAGCACTAGTTGAAGTTTGATCCAGCGATTGACTGGGTACCTCACCATTTTCCCCTGCAATGCGCTCTTCACATTCTTTGATCAAGTTGGTGAATCTCAAATCTCACTTGACCGATTTCTCTCTCTCTCTATGAGAGCCATGTTTGTTTAAAAGCAAAAAACACAAAAACAAGTGTGAGTGGATCTGACACTCCACTTCCTTTTCCTTTCCTCACCAAACCAGCTTTCACACTTGCACCCACGTGATTTTCTTTTATCTATTTCTTTTAATTTTTAATTCCTTCCCTTCTCCAATAAAATAATTCTTCCACAGAACTCCCACAGAGGCCTATATGTCACACACCCACCTTTCTTTTTATTATTCTATCACACAAGGGAGACAGCCCCATGTGAACCATTCACACGGTTTTCACTTTCCCAAACAAAAAAAAATTAAATAAATAAATAAATAAAATAAAATACCATAAAACAACAAAGCACAATACACTCATTTTATTCATATCGGGATCAACCTCGATCCACATTTTACACACAAAAAAAAAAAAAAAAAAAAAAAAAAAAAAAAAAAAAACATCACAACCACAACAACTTTGTTTTCTTTTCTGCAGCCGGCCACCAACCGACCTCACTTCTTCGCCTATTCCGCCGGTCTTTTCTTCTTGCCTCCGTCCTGGGCGGTCCTTGACGGTGCTGCCTCCGTGCTTCCTCGGCCACCCAGCAAGTTGCCTCCTGCCTGTTCCTCCACTGCAGCATATGGCGGCCCTCCAAATCGGAACATCACCGTGGCCTTCCGCTTCAGCTCCTTATTTTCCGCCTTCAGCACACTTATCTCTGCTCGCGCATCCTTATACATGCGTTGGAGCAGAGCCAGTATGAACTTGTAAAAATAACAAATGCAGATACTTATTAGATACAAATAATGATAGATTGTTATGAACTTGTAAAAATAACAAATGCAGATACTTATTAGATACAAATAATGATAGATTGTTATGAACTTGTAAAAATAACAAATGCAGATACTTATTAGATACAAATAATGATAGATTGTTATGAACTTGTAAAAATAACAAATGCAGATACTTATTAGATACAAATAATGATAGATTGTTATGAACTTGTAAAAATAACAAATGCAGATACTTATTAGATACAAATAATGATAGATTGTTATGAACTTGTAAAAATAACAAATGCAGATACTTATTAGATACAAATAATGATAGATTGTTATGAACTTGTAAAAATAACAAATGCAGATACTTATTAGATACAAATAATGATAGATTGTTATGAACTTGTAAAAATAACAAATGCAGATACTTATTAGATACAAATAATGATAGATTGTTATGAACTTGTAAAAATAACAAATGCAGATACTTATTAGATACAAATAATGATAGATTGTTATGAACTTGTAAAAATAACAAATGCAGATACTTATTAGATACAAATAATGATAGATTGTTATGAACTTGTAAAAATAACAAATGCAGATACTTATTAGATACAAATAATGATAGATTGTTATGAACTTGTAAAAATAACAAATGCAGATACTTATTAGATACAAATAATGATAGATTGTTATGAACTTGTAAAAATAACAAATGCAGATACTTATTAGATACAAATAATGATAGATTGTTATGAACTTGTAAAAATAACAAATGCAGATACTTATTAGATACAAATAATGATAGATTGTTATGAACTTGTAAAAATAACAAATGCAGATACTTATTAGATACAAATAATGATAGATTGTTATGAACTTGTAAAAATAACAAATGCAGATACTTATTAGATACAAATAATGATAGATTGTTATGAACTTGTAAAAATAACAAATGCAGATACTTATTAGATACAAATAATGATAGATTGTTATGAACTTGTAAAAATAACAAATGCAGATACTTATTAGATACAAATAATGATAGATTGTTATGAACTTGTAAAAATAACAAATGCAGATACTTATTAGATACAAATAATGATAGATTGTTATGAACTTGTAAAAATAACAAATGCAGATACTTATTAGATACAAATAATGATAGATTGTTATGAACTTGTAAAAATAACAAATGCAGATACTTATTAGATACAAATAATGATAGATTGTTATGAACTTGTAAAAATAACAAATGCAGATACTTATTAGATACAAATAATGATAGATTGTTATGAACTTGTAAAAATAACAAATGCAGATACTTATTAGATACAAATAATGATAGATTGTTATGAACTTGTAAAAATAACAAATGCAGATACTTATTAGATACAAATAATGATAGATTGTTATGAACTTGTAAAAATAACAAATGCAGATACTTATTAGATACAAATAATGATAGATTGTTATGAACTTGTAAAAATAACAAATGCAGATACTTATTAGATACAAATAATGATAGATTGTTATGAACTTGTAAAAATAACAAATGCAGATACTTATTAGATACAAATAATGATAGATTGTTATGAACTTGTAAAAATAACAAATGCAGATACTTATTAGATACAAATAATGATAGATTGTTATGAACTTGTAAAAATAACAAATGCAGATACTTATTAGATACAAATAATGATAGATTGTTATGAACTTGTAAAAATAACAAATGCAGATACTTATTAGATACAAATAATGATAGATTGTTATGAACTTGTAAAAATAACAAATGCAGATACTTATTAGATACAAATAATGATAGATTGTTATGAACTTGTAAAAATAACAAATGCAGATACTTATTAGATACAAATAATGATAGATTGTTATGAACTTGTAAAAATAACAAATGCAGATACTTATTAGATACAAATAATGATAGATTGTTATGAACTTGTAAAAATAACAAATGCAGATACTTATTAGATACAAATAATGATAGATTGTTATGAACTTGTAAAAATAACAAATGCAGATACTTATTAGATACAAATAATGATAGATTGTTATGAACTTGTAAAAATAACAAATGCAGATACTTATTAGATACAAATAATGATAGATTGTTATGAACTTGTAAAAATAACAAATGCAGATACTTATTAGATACAACTTAAATTATTAAAACCAATGCAATTGCTATAACATTAATCATAGGGTGTATCAATCCCCCCTTGTTGAAGAAAACTGGACTCATGCGAATCATAATTGTTGACTTTGATACCAAAGTTGATATAGTTTTTGTCTCTGCTACTGAATTTGGATTGACATGGCTCTAATAGTTATCCCATTAAGCATTTGGAGTTCTAATCTTTATATAATTTATTTTATTTTTTAATGGAAAGAGAAAGGGGAGAGGGGTTCTTAATTATTTTCTCATTGAAATATCTATTTGTCTTGCTAATCCCATTTGCATCCTTGAGGCAACCCCAACCCAACACACGGCTAGGTGGCCTACAGTTCCTTATCCCAACACCCCTACCAGGGTTCGGACAACGACCATTCCTATGGAAGAGCCAGGGAGATGCCACTAGGTCAACAACATACCTCGGCCAACTTGAATTACCTAAATCAATTAAAGTGTCATAACAAGCGCTTGTGGGTCCCATGTCAAGTGCCTGCAGTGAATCATAATTGTGGTGAGATCCATGTTAGAACATTATAATGCATCAAGGGTGGAGAAACAACCTTTGTTTCAATGTGCCTTCCATGGAAGGACCGTGCATCAAGCTAAGTTGTAGATGTACTCGAATGTTCTTATATTGATTCAATCATTTTCTGATTCCTTCTGTGTATGTGTGAATCTAAGTATATATCTCTTTACTATTTTAAACTCGCCATTTTACTTTACATATACAGATGAAGTACAGAAAAATGGTCACCTTTTCTGCAGAGTATAATATACTGATTATAAATCCTTGATTGGATTTTTCTGTATACAAATGCGTTTCTCTATTGTCGTTGCTGTCTATATAGTGAGGTGTTATAGCCAAGTACTAATCTACTCGTGTCACAAAGCTCTTTCTAGTTCAACCTAACAGTTGGGTGATAATGGTATTGCAATGTTGCAGCTCCAAGATCCTAGCCTCGACATCCAGAAGGCAGGCAAGTACCTCATGCTCGCTGTTCAGGAGCTAGTATCAGGAGACCAATGTGAAGGGAGGTTTGTATTTGGCCGTGAAAGCAAGAAGCCCAAGGAGTCTAGTGACAGTGATAGATTTACAAGAGATGGAACAAACCCTAAGAGCTTGCTGCAAACACTCATGATGCGGGCGGGGCACTCCCCTCCAAAGTACAAAACAAAGCATCTCAAGACAAATGAATTCAGAGCGTTGGTAGAGTTTAAAGGAATGCAATTTGTGGGGAAGCCCAAGAAAAACAAACAGCTTGCAGAGAGGGATGCTGCTTTAGAGGCATTAGCTTGGTTGACTCAGACCTCTGACAAAACTAATGATGAGGATGATAATTCCCCACCTGATGTCACTGACAACATGTTGAAACTCCTTGGTAAGCGCAGAAGATCAAAGCGGCGCTCGGGTTGATGATACATTCATGTCAAATGGATCTCTTTTTGCAGTTGTGGTGCCAAAGAATGACAACTAAGCCATTTGTGATTTATGAATATGATGATCTCACACCTGGTGTCTCTAACAACATGCTAAAACATAGAGGAGGCACTAGGATTGAAGCACCACTTTGGCCAATGTCGTACTGAAATGTCCCGTTTACCTGCTGTTTGGCCAAAGAACAGCAGTGAACAAAGTAGATGCTTTTCAAAACCGGTCTCGGAGCCTAGTGGTAATTTGAGCCCTAGATGATAAGGTTCAGTATCGTTATGGAGGAAGAAATCAATATTTACACAATTTTGTCCTGTGATTTGAATCTGTTAGATGCAGCCCCCGCATGAGGGGAGTTGAAGTGCAATATATTTTTGTTGTTTTTAATACCAGAATGGCAGGGTGGGGGACGTAATATACGAGAAAATATTGTAAATTTGAGGGTTTTTTTTTTTGGTGTAAAAGAAAAACAAAATATTGTTATTAAGATATAATTTATATTTGAACTTTGATTATATTCCTGTTCAGCATTTATTATCTGCATCTGATCTGAGTTATTGAAACTGATTTTTTTTTTTTTTAAAAAAAATTTTTAAAAAAAAAAAAAATCCGTGGAAGACATGGCATGTAAATGTATGGAGGCAATTTTTTAGGCCAGTCTTCGTGAAAGTAGTGTTCTGTTTGTAGACCAACGGATTGTTTGGTTTACTGAAATAAAATAAAACATAATTAAATAATCATTATTATCCTCTTTATGGAATAACTATTATTCTGTAATGATGAATGATGATTTAATTTGTAATAGATATTGTCATTTTAACATTGATACTACAATGAAAAGATTATTTTATTTCACTTTATTTAAGCACCAAATCTAGACATGCAAGGTGGGTGGCTATCTGATCATAAAGAGAAAATATCATTTTGCCCTTTAAATTTTTATTCGTTTTTCAATTTGAACCTTACACTTCGATTAATATCAATTTTGCATTTAAACTTTCAAAATTTGGCTCCTGTCGTCACATGCCGTCTACAATTGGACAAAATGTGTTGACGTGACACCAAAATTTATTAGAAATTTCATTTTACTTTCCAAAATATACTTTAAAAATCAATTTGCCCCCCCCAAACTATATCTTAAAAATCAATTTACTCTACACGTCGGCACATTCTGTTCAATTGTAGAATTTTGAAAGCTTAAATGTAAAATTAATATTAATCGAAATCTAGAGATCAAATTAAAAAATATATGAAAGTTCAGAAAGTGAAATGATATTTTCTTGATCATAAAAGAGGCCCATCGTGATGTGCCCTTTTAAAACATTAATTAGGTGAAAAATTAATTAACCAATGCGTGATTATTTAATAGAAAATTCTCCTTTTAACTTCATTAACCAAAACATTTTCCCATCCTCATTACATAACTTGACAAAAGTCGAATTGTCTTTGAAAAATGTATTCATATCTATTTTATAAACTCTGATTGCCAAAAACTGTCTAAATAAGTATTTTTTTTATAAAAAAAAAAATGAGTTTTGTTCCGAATAAAGGTCCACAAGGTCAAAGTTATTGTATTGAGAAATTTGACAAACTTCATTGCTTTTGTAAAAAGGTTTAATTTTGACAAATATGTTCTTTTTATCAATTTTTTTTTTAAAGAAAGTTAAGTTTTAGCCAATATCATCCATTTTAATTGTTTAAAATGAACTTCAAATTTATTTATTTATAATTTTAAATGGATAAAAGTTCACTCAATGCTTAGAACACCCTTCAGCATGCAACGTCCAAAATGAAATACATCATGATGTTTAAAGATTATAAACCACAAATTAAGTTTACATGTTACAACACAAAAAGTCCTTAGCCCAAATTAATCTATGGTCCAAAATCACCAAAACAAAAGTAAATCCATAGCTTCCTTTTACAATTTCTCCTCACATTTCTAGCACAAGAAAGTCGAAGTATATACTTTATTCCATACACTCATTTATTCATTTTATTTATAGGATCCACAATGATAATTAGAAAGATTTCTATATATACGTCCAATAATATCATAATATGATACATCAGCCCAAACTGCCTTACTAATGGGATGTCCTAACACGTTGCAAAATTTTGCTTTAGATAATATGATCCAATCATAGGAATAATAGGAACTATAGCATCAAACTTCTTAATAGAATTCAACTCCATACCATTAAAGGGTTTAGTTGCACACTTGAAACAATAAGTCAGGGACACTATGTGAGCTGAGTATAGAAATTGTACATTCGGCAAACAGAGCACTCCCAGGCCCATCACTGATGGGCTCAAGTTTAACCAGGCTCAATGGATTACAGAGGTTCGATGCTGAGTAAATCCTTTCACTGACTAGGTGACATGTCGAGAGGGTAGTGCCGACAATCAAAGAACATTAATGCTGAGTACTAGGGACAATTTGGCAGGCTATCCCAATCAAAATGGGCCCAACCCATCCCTTTCCGGAGGTGTAATAGGGACGTGGGCCTTGACATTATGGTAATGATGATGATGATCAAATTACGTGAAGAAATATTTACACATGACCTCTATATAAAGAAGGTAATTGGAAGAAGAAAGATATGCCTAATCACCCTAACTTGTTCTACTATTTGAATACCTAACCCATTTGCTTTCTCAACCAATATCTGGCTTGATCGTTAGAGTACTAATTTCGGCACCCCTGACTAAAGTGTTACTTGTTTCAGGTACCGGAGCGAGGATCCAACAAAGGTCTGTTTTGGACGAAGAAGTATTGCAAATCCACCCCTCACAATTGGCACCGTCTGTGGTAATACTCAAACTCATCCATGGAAGATCCAACTAATGATCCTCCAACTACTAAAGTTGATACCACAGCACCCGGAGGTTCCTTTAATCCAGATGGAATTCTCTCGTATGACGAGTATTAAAATTCGATCCACCAAATCCATCTTTACCACGGATGTCCACTGAAGATGCAATACGTACGCTGCTAGACCAATCCAAACGTAAAGAAAAACGTTTTGAAGTTATGGAAGCTGAGAATGAATGCCTTCGCTAAGAATTGGCAAAATCTAAGAAAATATCATGCTAGGAGCGCAGCCGGTCTCTAGTAAAGGGAGCCAACCAACATCACCCCGGAGACATGGTAACAGCAACAGTTTTACCGATTTATCTCGAGGCAAGCCCAAGAAACGTGACCGTGATAATGTCTCGAGATTATCTGATGAAGAACACTCCCTGCAAGCATGACAACGGGCAAGAAAACGAAAGGATGAAGATTCTGTTTTAAAGGACAAGCACAATCCATTCGTCCAGTGGATAGCTATTAGCTAGGGATGCCTTGCCCAAGAAATTTAAGGCTCCGTCATTTACACTCTATGATGGCAAGTTGGACCCCATTGATCATGTTCATCACTACAAGCAGGCCATCACACTATATGTAGATGATAAAACACTTATCTATTGTATTTTTCTTAGTAGCTTAGGCCCTTTGGCTGTTAGATGGTATTACAAACTTGAACTGGCTTCCATCAAGAGTTTTCACCAGCTCCAGAAATCTTTTTGGGGTAGGTTCATCACCAATGAAACATAGCACAAACAAGTGGATTCCTTGTGGGCAATGAAGATTGGACCCAACAAGACTCTCAAGCATACTCGACAAATTTTTGGGAGTGTTTTAATCTTGTTGATGATGATTGTAATGATGCTATGGTTGTTTCAACCTTTAAAATGGGACTTCACCTAGACAGTCCGCTTCAGAACTCCTTGACCTGAAGACTACCAAAATCAATTTGGACCTTGATGAAGAAGATAGAGGAATATTGTAAGATTGAGGATGACATGCTCCAAATAAATGTTGGGCTTCAAGCCCCAGAGTTGGCTGCACCAATTGTGGCTCAGCCACTAATAGTTGTTCTCCCAAACAGAGAAGTCACACCGCCAAGAAAGAGTCCAAAACCAAGTGGAAAGTTCAGAAAGGATAACTGCCGAGGCTCGCACTAAAGAAATGAACAGTACCAAGTTGATTCTAGGGGTCAACGACGTTCTGATAAAAAATACATAAAATTTTCAGAGCCAATTAGTCAAATCCTCCCAAAGATCAAACATCGCACTTTCTTCAAGTGGCCGACCAAGATGTTTGGACCCCCTAATATGAGAAGAAGAGATCAAAGGTGCAATTATCATCAAGATCATGGCCATTTGACAGATAAGTGTTGCGCTTTGAAGGACCACTTGGAGGATTTGTTAAGGGTTGGTCATGTGACACCAGACATTTCATGCATATGCACATCATGACATTCATGCATGTTAATCTCATGTTAAGTGCTTATTTGCTTGAACTAGAACTTGGAAGGAGTATAGGAGAAGGAGAAGGAGAAGGAGAAGTTAGTTTAGAAACCTAAACTTAGGAAATATTGCTTGTTTCATACTTGAAGTTAGGGAATGGTTTAGATTGGAATTTGAGAACCATAGGATGTCCCCATGCCTTAATTGAAGAGCTTAAAGGTTTTAGTCTAATGAACTTGTACATTTCATGCTATTTGCCAAATTGCTAATTAGGATTAATTAGGATAAGATTAGATTATTTAGTTTTAAAGTTGGTTAACTAGGCCAAAACAAGGAGATTAGATAATTAAGGAAACTTAAAACTTTTGCCCCATTCACACCATATAAACCTCATGTCTCAAGCCAAACAAATAAGGTATTTATTGGGGAATTCAAGAACAATCGGGAGAAGAGGAAGAAGAGAAGGAGAAAAAGGGGAGAACAGGAAAGAAAAGTCAAAAGAGCTAAGGATTCGAGCCTAGAAATTTCAAGAAAATCACTACGAAGTAAGAAACTCGACCCTCTTTTATATTCCCATATCAAAACATAACCAAAAATAGATTAGGAATAAGTTTTGGAATTGAAATAGAAAGAAAATAGGAAAGTTTGGAAGTTAGGAAAGAGTTTGAAGAAATGATAGAAAAACTTTGTTTTGAACTTAGAACTTGGTCTTGAAGGATTGAAAACATTGAATGAAAGAAAGGATTGAAAAGATTGAAAAAACTTGAATTAAACTATCTATTACTTGTTTAATCATCAAATCAATCCATAATCATAAGTTTTTATTACTTTTTCATTATATATATGGTTATTAGGATGTTATGGATCAAGATTTGGGATTTGAAAGCTTTAGATATGGGTTTGGAAGCCTTAAAACAACCTAGAACAGAGTAATTCGTGAAATGCAAAATCTATTCTACAGATCATCGCTCGAGCGGACCGCCCAGAAACGTGTGTGAGTTGGTTAACCACTTGAGCAGTTAAAGGATGGCTCAAGCGCACTTTAGACACTCCTAGAATCTTTTTTTGCAGGTCTGAACTTTTGTAAGTACCCATTCACCGCTCGAGCAGATTGCCTAGTTTTAGAAAGCTGAAAACTTGATTTCACCTGTTTCTCTCCCTTTCATTGGACACTTTTAGGTATGTTTTGGACCTAGACACATGAATAACATAATTAGAAACC